TTTGAGACGTCAATGTGATTTTTTTTTACCCCTTAAAAACCAGATGTGTAAAGTTAGACACATAAAGTGGTGTGAGCAAAAAATATTAAAACTCATATATGTAAATTAACATTTAATTTCTTGTTTAAACAAAATTGTCACAAGCTTCAATAAACACTCCAGTTTTACAAAAAAGGCAGTTATTTCATGGTTCAGGCTTCAGATGGGACGAAGTAAATGTTCACTCAGTACTTTGCAGAAAATATTTTAATTTCATTTGCAAGGTTATACTGCAAATGAAATCAAATATACATAATATATTTTTTAACAACTGTTCAGCCTACATGAGTGCAATGTCGTTGTAAAATGAAAAAGAAAAAGTCTGTTACAAAAATAATGCTATTTTCAAATTTTGTGAATTACTGTTTCCTTAAAGTTTTTAGAGAAGGTAATTAAAATTAGCGTTTTAGATTAAAGCGGGGTTGTCTGTCTTTATGTGATCAGAATTGAAATTAAAGCATATTTTTTATTTAAATCTTGAACCAATTGCACCTTTTTAACATTCTTCCTCTTCATCAACAGTCTGACATGCACAGTGTTTATTTGAGCCCTTGTGTTTAACTTAATGTCAGTGGAAGATAGTTTATATGAGTTAAATGTAACATAGCACCAAGTAAATAAGTAAAATGTATTTATGTAGAACCATTGTAGACAAGGATCACAAAGTTATTCACAACAATAATCAAACAAAAATATAGACATTAAAACACAACAATAATATTCATAATTTAAAAGCAAGCCTGTACAAGTAAGTCTTGAGCTACTTTTTAACCGTTTAATCATTGAAGCCCACAGAAATGACATCTGAACTGTAGTGGTGGTGCATACCATAGTTAAGAAGCCACAACCTCAAACAGACAGTCTCTTTTAATGTTCAGTCCAGAAAGATGAACCACCAACAGGTTTTGGCCCAAAGAGCTCAATGACCTGCATTTTTTATATGACTGCAGTTCACTAATGTAAGCAGGCATTCAACCATGCATAGCTCTGGAAATAATCAAAAAGATACATAATGCAAAGACAGCAAAATAGGTGTCAAGTGAGATCACTAGAGAGCCTAATAAGTAGCTGCACTTTGCAGTGAGTGATTTGTAAGTGATCCAAAAAGGACTTCCTGAGGCCAACGTACAGTGAATTACAACTTTGAGGAAACAAAAGCATGAATTATCATTTCTAATTCTGACTTGGACACCATTCGACTGAGGCGGGCAGCATTTCACAGATAAAATGCAGGATCAAACAAGGCTATTGATATGTGTGTTAAAACTAAGAGCCTGATCAAATCTGACACCTACATTTTTGACATTTGATTGAAACAATGATGAAGACCCGAGACTAATAATCGGAGTGCAAACAAAGCTGTCAGTAGCACAAACAAAAACTTTTCTCTGTGTTAAGTGAAAATAATTGGCAGCCATCCAGTTCTGTATGGCATCAATACAGTCTTAAAGGATGGATATTTTTACAACATTCTTTGGAGTAAAAGAAATGTACAATTGGATATCATCTGCATAACAATGATATGAGACACACTCAAAGGTGTTGAAGTGATAGCAAATACATCTTGATGCATTCTCAATCACCCAGGAAAGTAAATCTCCAAAAAGTTGATTCTGTTCATCTGGACGTAGCATTTTGTGGGAGAAATGTTTCGTCACTCATCCAAGTGACTTCTTCAGTCTCAGTTGACTGCAGGTTTCCCCAATCTTATAAACAGGAGAGAAGGACAACAGCTGCCCAAGCAAAAACCTGTAGTGATCCCATATGTGTCAGGAGTATCGGAGCAGTTAAGACACATTTTTTCTAAACACCGCGTCTCTGTGGCTTTTAAACCCCAAAACACGCTGCGACAAAAATTGGTCCACCCCAAGGATCGGGTCCCCCGACACAAACAGAGTAACATAGTGTACGCTGTTAAGTGCCAGGAGGATTGCCAGGATTTATACATCGGGGAAACCAAACAACCTCTGGCGAAGCGGATGGCACAACACAGAAGAGCTACTTCATCAGGCCAGGACTCTGCAGTCTATTCACACATACAGGCCAGTGGACACTCTTTCAATGATGAGGATGTACACATCCTGGACAGGGAGGAACGCTGGTTTGAGCGCAGAGTCAAGGAGGCCATTTACATGAAAAGGGAAAGACCATCTCTGAATCGAGGAGGGGGCCTAAGGGTACATCTGTCACCATCTTACAATGCTGTGATTGCAGCCATTCCCCAACTCTCTGTGAATGGTACTCATGGCCATTGATCAGTGGTCTTTGATCAGTGGTCATGAGAATTTGCAGGAACTGACCTCCCAGCCCATTGTTCCTTCAGTGGACTGGTTTCAGTCATTATGCAAATGTACTGTTTATAAGATTGGGGAAACCTGCAGTCAGCTGAGACTGAAGAAGTCACTTGGATGAGTGACGAAACGTTTCTCCCACAAAACGCTACGTCCAGATGAACAGAATCAACTTTTGGAGATAGCAAATACAGTGCAAACAGAACAGGTCCCAAAACAGAACCTTGGGACACACCATAGCACAAAGTTGCAAATGAGGACACCAAGCTGTCAGCAGCAACGGAGTAAGTTCTGTCCGGAAATAAGAATTAAAAACATTTGAAGTCTGATCCAGAGATGCCACGCCATGTTGCTAACCTGTCAATCGAAATACCATGATCAACTGTGTCAAATGTAGCTGAACAACGTTTGCATCTGCATCTCTCTTCATTAAAATGCCACGGGAAACTCTAAGAACAGCAGTTTCATTAGGGTGATAGATCCTAAAGTCAATAGTTCAAATTATTTGCAATTGAAAAGGGAAAAAAAAAATCTGAATTCATTGGAGGGTCTGTAAATGGTTTTGTTGTGTGTGTTTCGCTGATGTTGCTTTTGTGCTTTAATTTAAGAACAGTTTCAATAAAGACTTAATTTTACTTAATTTTATGTTAAAAATTTTACAATGGCATGAATTGTAAAATTCATACCATTGTAAAATTTTAAACGTAAAATCCTAATCTGCAAAATAACAGCTGTTAACAGTTACCACATAGATGTGTAATTTTACTCTGCAGTGTAAAAGAATAGAAAATGCATGAAGTTGAAAAGATCTTAAAGCTGTCTATGGATGATAATTCCTAAAGTAAAGTTTTGTTGGTGTAAATATTGTTATAATTATCCTGCAGTTTGACATTGGGATGCAATTCTCTGCAGTATGAAAAATATATATACAGTAAAATACAGCAAGGCGCCAGCCAGATTACTCTGGCAGCCATGAAATGGAGGTCTGTGTAGTCTTTACATCAGTCCAGATCTGCTCTGATATCAGCACCACTGGGACATGTGGGAGACCTGTTTCTGTTCTTGGATTACTGCCGATCCCAGCAGATCTCTAACTCTGATTTCACACAAACCTGCTGATGTGTGGAACGTGAAGTGCGAGCAGTCCGAGAAGTTCACTTTTGGACACTGTGAAGGTGATATTAGCGGAACAAGGTGAGCCTTGTTCAAACCAGGGGAAATGTTTACATATTTTTTCAAGCGAAATGTGACCATAAATATGTAAATCTGTGACCATGTTAGTCATTCTGTTGCTTTGTCCGTGACCGTGACATGCCACTTGTGTTTATCTTTTGTTACACAATCTTCTGACACTATTGTTTGACCATGACAGATAGATAACTTGTTTCTATAAACTATTCTTGGTCAAAAACCATGCAGACTGCTGTCATGCTGTATGTACTGTTTGGCTCCTTTGAGAAGGTAAATAAAGCTACCACAACCATAATGTATAATATAGTATTAGTTTTATATTTGAAAAAGTAAAGTTTTAAAATAAATGTCATAATGTAACATATCTGAGAAAAACTTAAAGGTGTCAATCCATGAAATCATGAGTAATTTTCACCTTTCTTTCATTATCCTTCCCCGTAGCTGCAACCTGATTTCTTCCTCTGTCTCACATCTTTTGCACCAAACATGATGTTAAACAAGAAAAATCTATCATGTATTCTTTCCTCTTGGTTATATGGGCAATTTGTGTTGCTCATTCTTTATTACTGCTATCATGTCAAATTCACATCAGTCAAAATTAAACAATAATTACTATCGTTAAGCAAAACAGTCCCAGAGCACGATGCTTCACTGTTTCTTCTCCAAACATGGCTCTTGGCATTGTGGCCAGCTCAATCTTTGTCTTGTCTGACCATAAAACCTTTCTCCAGCTGCAAGTTTCAGTCAATATTTAAGGTGCTGATTTTAGAAACAGGTTTCTTTCTTAGTCAGCACCCTCTGCGTTCACAGCATCGCTGTCCACTGTGACACCGGTGTTCCAGCTGTCCCTGGTTCATGGCATGCTTGAGGCTCGGTGGCTCGTGGGTTAATCCTGAGCACACCAACTAATTTCCTTTCATCTGAGGGTGACACTTTATGTCTCCTTCCAGACCTTGGCAAATTGTTGACACAGCTGAATAATTTGTACTAACGTGTAGGTTTTTTTTACAATCTTGTAATCCCCGGTTGTTTAGAAATAACTCTACTAAACTTTCACAGCTCTCCTTAGATCTTCACAGAGTTCCTCGGATCTTCCAGTGAGAATTAGATTTAAGTAAATATATGTATATATTTGAACCTATATGTATCCTTTTGACCCAGGGTTTATTAAAGATTACGATGACTAAATTACATGTCATTAATGCCCATGAGGAGCATATGTAAACTTACAACTTGCCAAAGTGTATATTAACAATGGTTTAGTCTCAGGATTCAAAACATATGCTTTGTGCTGTTTGCATGTGTGGGTGGTGTCATGCTTGCGTCTTCTGAACTGAAGCATTCATTTGCCTCCTGAAAATGACTATATTCATTATTTTCTTTTTGCAAGTCATATTTAATATCACAACTGTTTCCAGATAATTATTATTTTTATATAAGAGCAGAACGGATGAGAAAGAAAATGCAGGAGACTGCTTCTTTAAATAAAATCATATTTATTTTACAAATTTGCACAATTACGGAACAGTGGTGAACATTCATACAAGTAAACACTTATAAATGTGTGTAGCCTGACACACTTGTCTCACACGCGCGCGCACACACATGCACACACACACACACTCACTCACACTCACTCACACACATCATGTACAGCATGTACGCAATAACAGAGTTTCATATACAGCACACAGACATACGGGCAGCTACCTACAAAGCATTTTGCTTCCTTCCTTCAAGTGTAAATCAGATCAGATTTTGTCCATCTTGCTCATTTCACACATTCACAATGCTCCAATGACTCAGTGTCGTTACTCTAGCAATCAAACAAAAGAGGTGAAGTGTGAAATGCAGACATACTGTAAAGGTGGGTGCTGTCAGCTTCTGTTTCCATCGCAGGCAGAAGCTCGTGTTTGCAGCTGAGGTGAAGTTTGTTAAGTGTTTTAGAGTAAGTGAGCTCTGCTGTCACTGAGAGGCTCGACAGTGAGTTGCACAAACAGGGCAGCTCTCAGAACTTGGATATGTCTTCTAAAGGCGAATTAAAAAAAACAAAACAAAACATGGCTTACATTTATTAAAAGCCTTTTCGTGTTTAGGTTTGATTTTCCCAATATTATGGCAGTGATTGCTATATAACTTTAAGGATCTGCAGTACCGACTTTGGACTGGTGGTTCATAGTATTTGCTGTAACACTGAACAAGCTACACTTTTTTCTGACAGCTAACGGTAACACCTCATTAGGTGATTCATTAGCTGCTAGGTAACACTGTTTGTTTAGCATTTGGCATTTAAAGTGGAGAGGAAGTGATACAACTTTACAAATAACTCAAAAAAAAAAATTTGAAAAAGGCTTTGATTGTCTTCACGCAATTCTTTGTGAGGAGAGATCTCCCTAAATACTTTAACAAAAAAAATACTTTTGTGGTTTTATTGAGCACAGAGGAAACAGAAGCATTTCAGGCAAGGTGAGTAGAGGAGGAGGAAGGGAGAGTTTGGACTGCAGAGGGGGGAGGAGAGGAGAAGGCAGACAACAATAAAGTGAAATCTAGTGGAAAAACATAGAGGAATCTTTAAAGTCCTCCTTGTCAGCAACTTTCTAGCCTCACTTTGAGTTGGGCCGCAGCTCCTGTAGTGTATCTCTCTTCTGTTAGTCGTCTCGAAGGACTGGCTGAGAAAGTCTTTTCTCACTGCTTCTGGTTGCAGTGTCAGGTATATCAGAACAGACAGAGTGGCACTGTTAGCTGATTATCTCGCTCTCTTTTTTTTTTACGGTTAAAATGTGCACCATCCAAATAAAATGTTGCGGAAACTGGACGCAACAAGCAAAGGAATGTGAAGCCCATAAATCCACAGCACAGGGTGTATTGCTGGTAGGTTTCAGACCTCCACCTGCCCCTGTGTCAGGTGAGCCCTGAGCTGCTGGGCTGCACTGACGATCTTCCTCTGGTGTCCCAGCAGGTTCACGCCGAGATCCTGGACGTCTCTGAAAGAGAGTTCAGACAACAATATTCAAATCTTGACAAAATCAATATGTAAGAGCAACATAAAATTACCAAGGTAATTTTCTAACAGTTTGGATTATCCCAGAAAGTTGAGTCGGTTCACCTGGACGTTGCATTTTCTCCCACTGAAAACACAACTTTCTGGAATTTCCTTACCAGGATGATTGAGCATGCATCAATACAGATTGGATTTTGACACAGAAAATCTAACAACCCCTTTGTGCTATTTTCTAATGTGAAAAAGAACAACCCAAAAAGAACGTAGGCAAGTGGACGTCTTTAAGTTTACGAACCTCAGAACTGAAGAAAACCTCCTAGATGAGACGTGAAACAACTACACAAACTACACAGTTGCCTTCTTGTTTTCAAGCTCTTCAGACTACCATGAGCCGAATGACTGAAAACCTGCACAAGGAGGTAGTAGCAGAAGTTTGAGCTTTATTTTTACACCTTGTTGCTGCTGCTTGGTTAGCGTTAGATGCTGAAACCCCATTATTAGATTGAATACAATCAATCTGGCTCCACATTAATTAGCAAAAACAATATTGCAGTCCACATTGGCTTGTCTTCCTCCCCTCACCCAACTGGCACATGGCTGCCCTTCCCTGACCCTAAATCCGCTGGGGGTTACTTCCTATTAAAAGGGAATTTTCCCATCCTACTGTTGCCAAAGTGCTTGCTAAGGGGATCATATGATTGTTGAGGTTTTCTCTGTTTTGTAGGGTCTTTACCTTACAACATAAAGCGCCTTGAGCCAACTGTTGTTGTGATTTGGCATTATATAAATAAAACTGAACTGAATTGAATATTTTGTTTTGAAACTCCTTTTTGATGTGCAGAAATCGTTTTTAAATTAGATTAGAATCAGGAAGAAAAACTTTTGAGATCAACAAAAAACCTGTGCGAGACATACAGGTGTAATCTACAAAGTTTTATGATGATGGTTGAAATCGGAGCTCAAGCATGGGTTCTTCATGCATTCGTTCCTCTTGGACCTTCTTGGACCCTCGTGCTAACTACTGGCCCACCATTCTGTCCCTATTCTATTCTAAGATTGTTTAAAGAATTAAATCTGCAGGTTGCAGAAGTTTCTCCTTTCCTTATCTTATGGTGACTTGTTTTGGTTATCAGATACCTACAAAAACTGCAAAATCCTCTCGGCTATGTGTCCCTCATCAGTAGCACTATCAGAGCACCTTTATCTTATGGTGTCTGTTTCATAACACTAAAGGAGTGCTCAGTGAGTTGCAATGAGACACCTACAGGTCCTGACCAAGCACCAGTATGCAGGGCTGCACTGAAATGTTTTTGTGCACTGAAATGCACAAAAAAAATCGGCCTTGGCACTTTTGTTGCAGTCGGTCTACCGTGTCTCTCTCTCTCTCTCTCCCTTCATCTATTTTCTTATTATTCTAATTTCATTTCCCTCTGTCTGTTTCTCACTCTGTTTTTGGGACTGGTGTCCCTCCGCCTGCACAGCTTCTCCACAGCTAGTGCTACAGCTGCCTCCTGTGTCTATGAAGGCTCATTACTGCTTGTTGCTGGTACATTACTACTGTTGACGGCGCAGCAGCATTTGCCCTGACAGCTAACATGTTGCTCAATTTGACATTTCCTGTATCTATTTCTAGCTTCTCTTTCTTTGTCTCTCTTAGCTTTCAGCGCCACCTTTTCAGCTCTTCTTTCACACTAAACTCTGTTCAATAAGGTGTGTAAGAGCACAGCAAAGATTGGGGAGGGTCCAGTTGCATAAAGAGATTTGATAGGGCAATACAGTAATGAAAATGAACAAAAAGGCTGCCAGTGCTTCTGGCACTGTCTAAAAGTGTGTCAGCCCACTGGGCTCTTTACCACTATGCGACAACTTGACTTGAGGTTTCAGTGGATACCAGGTGGCTGGTGTGCTTGATAATACTCATGACATAGCTAAAATTAAATTAATGACTGATCTAATTAAATCTTAAGTCAAGAAGCCAGCTTTAAAAATGTTTGATATATTTTTCTGTATTTTTAGGTTTGTAACTATCCATGCATACTCACTCCATCGTAAGCTTGCTGACTCTGTCTAATGTGTCCAGGTGCGCTCGATCAAACTCATTCTGATACCTCTCCATCCTCAGCGCTTTCAGCCAATCACTGACCGTCACCACTGACGATAAGTCTGTGGGAGTGGGGCTGAGCAGCGGCTGGGAGCAGCTTCTGTAAATGTCAAAAATGAGAGCACGAGAATCCATAACTGCAGCAGATTGTACATCACCTGCTGCCTCGGATATGCTTTGCAGGAGCGTTTGCCAGGAGCTGGCGTCTCACCGAGTTGGCTCAGCTTTGAGGGACGCGGGGTGCCTGATGAGTCGATCCAGAGAAGACAGGACTGAGTCGAAACCTGGTCGGTCTGCCCGGTCGGCCTGCCAGCACTGAAGCATTAGAGAGTGGAGGGCAGGGGGGCAGTTGTGGGGGGCCGGGAGACGGTACTGATCTGCTACTGCCTTCATCACCTGCAGACACAAAGAGGAAGGCATCAGACAGAAGTAGGGCAGATGGAGTCTTGTGTAATTAGCCTCCATGAAAGGTCACAGATCACTCAGAGCTTTCAAGAATGACTAAGAGAAAATTATGCGAATTTCATCAGTTTGGCATTTTGTCACCGTTTAAATATGCCTGTTGTGTAACAGGAGGAGGGGGAGGGAAGTACATTTAAGTACTGGAGGGCCACATTTGTGTAATAATACGTTTATTCCTCTAGATTACTGAAATATTGTACATAATGAAGGCTGTTTTAACAGCTTAAGCATTTAAAATATGATTTACACAGCATAAATTCATCTTTATTTTGCAGATACGGTATTTTCTGCATCTGTCAGCGTCGGTAGCGATTTTATTTTATTGGTACTTTATTGCTACATGATGCACTGAATGCAAAATTTAGGAGATTTTTTGTTAAAAACTTCACATTGGCTGAGAGAGACAGATAATAATGCCTAATCCATGAGCTTGGCAAAACGTTAATTTGGGCTAAAGAAGGACTTCATTAGATCACTGTGATCCCTTTTATGGACTTCATGAGCACCTCATTCTTATGAATGATATGAATGCTATAGCTCAGGAACAGCAGGAAGGAATATTTATGGTGCAAATATCCGTTTGTACTCGAAGATGACTTCACTTTGATGATCACTTTGATGTCATGTTTTTGGATGTATCTTAAGAACTTATATGCAAAATATGAAAAAAAATCCCAAAGGTCAAAGGTCAGCTTCACTTTGACATCATAATGTTAAATACACTTTTCTGTCTATTATTTAAAACATGAGCAGAGGGCACCTTTAGTCCAATACTGAATTGCTGTTGTTGATATGTAATTTCTTGAACACTTTATTAAATGATGTATTATAAGACTTTTAAAAAACTCAGATGTAAATTGCCACCTGACAAATTAGTGGAAGAACACAACAGCAAAGCAGTAATTCTAGTTATCTGTATATTGTTACACCATAATAAAGATAAGTGCACTATAGCAAGGGTTTTTTGCACATTTGCTTCTTTAACAATTCAGGAAACATTTTTCTTCATACTCACCTCTTGATTGCTCATGTCCCAGTACGGACGCTCTCCGTAGGACATAACTTCCCACATCAGTATCCCAAAGCTCCAGACATCACTAGCTGAGCTGAACTTGCGATGCTGAAATGCTTCAGGTGCCGTCCATCTCACAGGAATCTTACTGCCCTGATAGATGAAAACAGAACAAAAACATATACAGTCACTCAGTGATGACGGAAACCAAGCTAAAAGGCGCTCCTTCCCTTCTAACCTACCAGTGAGGCAGTGTAAGTTGGTATGTTGTGGTCCAAGCCCCTCATAAGCCTGGAGAGGCCAAAATCAGATACTTTACAGACCAGGTTGGAGTTGACCAACACGTTCCTGGCCGCCAGGTCTCGGTGAACAAAGTTTCTCTCAGAGAGGTAACGCATCCCTGCTCCAACTCCCCTGAGCATCCCGACAAGCTGGAGGACACTGAACTGACCTTCGTTCTCCTGAAGAAATTAAGAGACACGATGGAGAAAAAAAAGTCTCCAGTGTGGTGTAACATGTGCAGGAATTCCTGACAGTGCGTTGTTTTTCTCACCCTGAGGAAGGCATCCAGGGGCCCGTTCTCCATGAACTCAGTGATGATCCTCTCTGGAGGGGTACGGGTGATAACACCCTCTAGTTTCAGCACATTGGGGTGGTCAAACTGTCCCAGGACTCCTGCTTCACTGAGAAACATCCCCTTCTCTCTGTCTGATGCCCCCCAGCGCAGAGTCTTCACTGCTACCAGCACTTCCCTGCGACCCAGCGGATGGTAACGACCACGAGAAACCTCGCCAAATTGGGCTGTAATGGAATAAACACGGAGGAGATTACACTGTGCTGCAGCCAGCACGTAACTACAGCAAGATTTAAAAGAAAGGAGACCATGAAACGTACCTGCACCAATCACCTCCTCGATCTTGAGGTGAGTTGGGTCGATCTCACGGGCAAATTCTTTGACGGCCTCGCTGGGGTCCTCATAAGTGGATGGGTCAACGTAATACTTAACTCCACCTGGGAACAAGAAATCTTCTTTTGAAAAACTGATTCAGAACTTTTAGTCCTTTACTTTAGACATGTAATCCCAAAAACAAGGTAAAAATTATCTTTTATAATGCAAAGCTGATGAGCTTTACTTTACACACAGATAGCATTTTTTTGTATTAGTCATTTAATAATAAAAATATAGAGCAGCTTTATTTTTTTCCTATAAAATAACAATGAATCCCAAAATAAATAATTCATTTTATTATATTTCACTCACCTCTGTTACTGATGTACCTCTGGAGTCGGTCACTGTATGGACTCTCCCTCCTCTTACTGCCATGTAAAAGCAGTCAAAAACTGTAATACCAGATTAAAACATACATGCATTCATCTGTTACGGCATTTATACCACCAACCAACCTGCGAAACACCACCACAACCACAATGGCTGCCACAACAAGGAGAAACGCGGCCCCACCCATGACTGAGCCCACCAGCAGAGGAAGCCGGGTCTGGATTTGCTGTGAATGCTCCTCTGCGGGAGAGAAAATGAAACACCTTCAGCTATCAAGTTCAAATGTGCTTTTATTGGATATACAGACCACTTTATCTTTAGTTACAGCGATATATGTTCTATTTGAAAGTTTGATATTGATGTTAATACTGAGGCAGAGATGTTTTCTTAGTATTAAAAATGACAAAATAACTACAGAGAGATGTTTGCTGTGTTCATACCGAGGTGTTTAACCTCCTAATTTTTGAATTCAGGTGTTTTCAATCCTATTCCCACAGGTGCAGCCATGCAGCCTGTTTTTAGAAACATCTGTAAAAGCATAGGTCATTCTAAATGCCGCACTGAGGTCGAGCGTGGGACTGTTGCAATAACTTATTCCTCCTAGTTATTCCACAATCAACGGTAAGTTGTATTATTGCGACGTGAACACGCTCAGGAACCACAGCAGCTCAGGCAGGAAGTGGCAGACCATGTTAAGTTATAGCACAAGGTCACTGAGACGCACCTTTCTGCTGATTCAATAACTGCTGAGTTTCAAACCTCTGATGTTAACATCAACACAGAAACTGGTTCACGGTGTGGGTTTCCATGGCCAAGCAGCTGCTGCAGGTGAAATCTGTAGGTGGCCCAGGACGTGTATCCATATAGTGTAACTTTGGTCTTGTGGGTTTTTGAGGTTGAATTCTTTCTTTTTCAGGTGTTCAGAGTTTTGTTATGTCTTTTTTATTTTTGAGGATTTTTGGAGCCTTTAGTTCTTGTTTTAATTTAGTCTGTTTTAGAGTTTAGAAGTGTTCCTTCAATAGTTCCTGTCTCAACGTCCTGTGTCTGCTCTCTTTAGCTCCGGTTTCTAACTTACTGTTTTATTTTGGCAGTCATTTCTCTCCTGCGCTTTGATTATTTCCCCTCCTGTCTCACTGTCTTTGATTATTATCACCTTTAATTTTGTTACCCTGGTGTGTCCACTTTTTCTAATTATATCACATCTAGTCGCTGATAGCTGGTTTTGTGCTTCTGGTTTGCAACACAGTCTTCTCATTTCTACATGATTAAGTTTACATTGAGCAAAATAAAGTGCACTGAAAATGATTCACAGTTTATTCTTTGTTCCCTAGTTTCTCTAATTGCTATCCTGAATTTATCATGCTATCCTGACATCTTCCTCTGGTCTTACTCTTACTATTTTTTATGTGAATGGTAAGGCCTTATATTAACCGCTAAGCTTTGTATTACATATAGTAATGCAACTTCACTGAGATGAATGTAACTGCAGTTACAGTAATTGAAAGCTGCCCCAGCTTTTGTCTGTTTTTCCTTTGTAAATGCTTGTTTTTGTACTAAGTACAGTTGTGCACACCCACACTCAAACAACAGCATGTGCATTTATTTTAATGCTTATGCCAATATGATCTTTTGACAGTTTTCTATAATCCTTTCAAATCAGTTCAATTCAGTTGTATTTATATAGCATCAAATCACAACAACAGTTGCCTCAACATGCGTTCTATTGTAAGGGACAGACCCTACAATAATAGAATATATACTTTTTTCTTAAACTATAATAAAAATAAATGACTGTGTGCATTACCTAGAGGTAGCGTCGTGAAGTAGATGGTGTTGCTGTAGGGCCCGTAGCCTCGCTCATTTCGAGCTCTGATCTGGAAGGCATAGATGGAGCCGGGAATCAGAGACTTGACGGTCACTGTGTTAGTCTCACTGTACACAGTCAATGCGCTGTCCACGTCTGAACCCTGACAAACAGAGAGGAATGACGTTAAGGGTCTGTTGTTTGGGCTCAGTTTGTTTTGTGTACAATCACGGCCAGTATGTTCAGTAAATGATGTCTTTGTGTGTATTTACACCTAGCGAACACTTAAACGACTGTTGATTTGTTGTTTGAATGCCATACTGCGTTATGGTGGAAAAAATGGTTCCATTATAAAACATCTTGTTGCCTGCGCAGGCTGGCCATTGTGAACATGAGTTGATGTTCTTCTTGTAGTTTCTAGCAAATTTTTGCACATTATAATTTGTCAGTTAAACAAAGAAATCTAAATAATTCTGGTAATACTGGAAGAGTAAGACAGGCTGCAGTCAAAACAGCAAGATCATGCTCACTGCTGTGACAACAGGCCAGCTCACTAATAAAGAATACACCACATGTCGGGTAGGTAGAGAGAAGCTTGTAGTCATGGTGAAAGTCAAGAGGCTCATAAAAGCTCACCATCCAGTACAAGATGGTCTTCTGCTACAGATTTGATGTGTATTCCGAGATGCTCTCTGCATACCAAGGCTATAACAGGTGGTTATTTGGGATGATGTTACTTTCCAATCAGCATCAAGGAGTTTGACTATTCTCCTTTGACTTCTGGGATCAGCCAGACATTTCCACCCAAAAACCTGATATTTTCTCTTTTTTGAACCACTCTCTTTAATTTCTAAAAACCATGTCACGTTCAAAGTCACTGAATTCACCTTTCTTCCTCATCCTGATGCTCAGTTTGAATTTCAGCTGGTTATCTTGACCATGTCTACACACCTAAATGTGCTGAGCTTCACGTAATTGGCTGATTAGATATTTGTGTTAAAAACATATGGCAAAACCAGTCCATAGAGTTGATATTGCATCTGTCTCATCACAACCATTTCGTAACCAAATAACTTGGTTTTGTGAGAGAGGTTGTGACGTCCCCTCACAACCAGCTGCTATCAAACTGAGAAACTAATGTTGAAACCTTCTGCCTGTATGTGTGACTTCACTGAACATACCTTGTCATAGTATCTGAGCTGATACTCCAGGATGTCTCCATTAGGCCTGTCTGGCTGAGGCCACGACAGAGTGATGGAGTCCGGGGCACGGCTCAGCTGGTGCATCATAGGAACGGTACTGGGAACTGTGGGTGACAAGAGACGTTAAAACAGGAGAGCTGTTAGTTCACAAGTGACAGTCCCCACACGAGGGCAGTGTTACAAAACATGTAGACAGAATTCAGTTGAGCGTAAAAGTGAAGTAGGAGTTTTTATGGTGCACCAGTCAGGATCTAGTTTCACTCAGTGAGCTGGGAGCAGTTAAAGGGAACTTTCTGGTATTCCATTCATTTGATCAATAAGCTCTGAGAGCACTCACAGGAAGATTTTAGATAATGTGGGCTCATTGAACCTCCTAGCCAGTCTTGATCGGTTTCATGGAAAATTGTATAATGGTGTACTTGGTGTGCACAATACCCCATTCTCCTCTCCTTTGCCCACTCATCTGCTTTCATCTTTCTTTCTCTCCGTCTCTTTGTCTTCCCATCTCTCATTTGTCCCTTTCTTCCTCCACAGTGACCATAATGGGATCTGACAGGATTTTGTAACCTCGAGCAACCTCCCGTTCAGAGAGCAGGAGCAGAAAACATGGAGCAAAGAGACCGAAAGAGAGGGGAGGAGGAGGGGGGGAGAAAACTGACACACACACACACACACACACACACACACACACCACACACACACACAATCTACGCAAACATCATCATCAGAGCGTCTCTTCCTCTTTCATCTCATCTTTTTCATCGTCTCCGTCCTGTTCTCACCTGACTGGCTCGTAGTGAAATTGATGCTTGAGTATCGAACTGGGAAAGGACTCAAAGCTGACACTTCATTCATGGCTTGCACCTGTCAATACCAAGAACACACAGATGTGAATTTCAAAGCCTTTTCCCCCCCATTTATATTTATGACACGCTTCAACGTTTGAGAAACAAAGACAGACACGTGCAGCGTCCACTATGACAGGTCAACAAACGCCAGGAAATGGGGAAATATCTGTCCATTATGAATAAGGAATAAGCGATGCTTTAGTCAAGGTATGCCGAACTAAATAATAAATGTTGGTGTGTATTCACTGATGCGGCACTTATGATAAAATAATAGACCACAGTGGATTCATCTCATCTGTGGGTCCAGGAAGTGCTTCAAACTTTGAGTGAGATAAGACAAAGAAGAATCTTCCGTTTTTCCACAGCACCTGTATGAGATACGTGACCCTGGTCAGCAGGTTGTTGAGGGTGACCTTGGTTTGTTTCAGGTTGGTCTGGGAGGGGCTGAAGGTGACGCCCTCCCCACACCAAGAGCACAAAGCCGAGTTGGTGAAGGTCGGTGACGGACAGATGCGACACACCACCCCGTACCACACCTCACTTCGGCCTCCCATGTCCACCGGAGGGCGCCACCTCAAGGAAACCCCACCATCGCCGCTCTCATACTCCCAGGTCAGAGAGACAGGAGCAGACGGAGGAGCTGCGGAGAAAGCAAAGATGGGGAAAATGGGAGGAGTTTGACATACATAATGCAAGCGGTGGACTCTAAGATGGAAGCATCTGGTAAAATGTTTAAGATATGAAAGAACCTGCAGGCTGGCAAAGACATTTATGCAATGAAAAGTAATGGAAAGAACTTTATAAAATAGTTTGATGGTGAGGCAATTTCGTATGAACGAGCGAAGGAAAGTTTCATGCTTAACAGGTTTTTCTGTTGGTGCAATTTAAAGATTAAAATAGTCTTTAAAAGCAAAGGGATTTTGTTCCACTGACTGTGTATCTCGGTTCTCACAGTCTGAGCAAATGACAAATGACTCCAATGAGGCCCCTTGAACGCCTCGCAGAGGAGCCAGGCGTAAACAAACAAACAGACAAAGCTCACTTGTGCAGGCAGAAGAGTTGGCATCGCTGGCGGCCCGGTAAAAGCCGCTGCGACATTCACACACACTCGATCCCTCATGGCTGGTTCGGCTGTTGGATGGGCACACAGTGCAGGGAATAGAGCCTGAAATAGACTTAAAGTAGCCCACAGGACAGGCTGTAAGGAGACATGAAGACAGAAGAGGGGTTGTGTTTTATTAACAGCTTGCGGTTATATAAATAAAGTGATCACTGCTCCATTAGCGGTGTTCACTGCTATGAGTTTGCAGGTTTAAACTATGAAATGCTGCAGCTGCTGTTAAAGAAACAAGCTTAAATTTGGGCTCAGATGCACATACCACTATTTTTTTTTAATATGGTCAGAAAATAACACACTGATAACATTCAAGCCAGCTCAGAATAGCCAGCACTTGGATTTGTCGCTGAAATACATTAATAAAAGTGCTAAAATCAGTTCAGCTGACCAAATATCTTTTGCGCTCAGACTAGCCTCTTCTGGACCTTTCAGTGATATCACACCGTCTTCCTCAAAGCTCAGTTGTCAGTGCACTGTTGAAGTAGATAATGGAAAGTAATCTGCATTCATTCAAAGCGAAAACTTGGGAAGACCTCAGCAAGCGGACCTTCGGTTAAGATTGCTTTGTCAACTCTGATTGCAAGGTGCAGCTAATATTCACAGGTTTACTGAAAGTGCACGTGTACATCATGTGCGACGTAGTTTAAATTGAACATCTGGCATTATTCAGACAATTCAGCCCAGATTTTGTTTTATGTAAGGTCTTTGCGATCTGTATTATGTGCAGCTCAGAAGTCACGAATTTAAAAAAAAAACCAAACAAAAAAACCCTCTTACTTAATCCCTTTTTATTGTCCCGCTCACTTTGTCCAGAACAAAATCAAACTGCAGTAACTGGTTTGGGGTTAAGCATCAATTTCAGCTTGGCTTGTGGTTCCCGTTGGTTCAAAAGTTCAACTGAAAGGCAGCGGTCTCTTGTTTGTTGTTGGCTTAACTCGGCACTATCATTTACTTTTGTTTATAGAGGAAGTGGCCAGCAAACCGACAGTCACATACACACACACAGAGACACACACGAAAGGTCATAGTGAGCATTTTGAAGGTGGAGGTTGACTTATTTACCTCATCTGCACCACTCTCCTCCTGGACAATAAGCAATACAAGGATATTACTTACAGAAGCGTTAGTTTACTTCAGCATAAAGACTGTAAACAGGAGGAGACGGTTTAGCCACAGTCTCATGTGGTAAAAGCAATTAATGATAAATATTTATACACACCATAATTAGGAGTTCGAGTGTGTTGAATTGTGAGCTGTAGGGCTGCTGTAGTGCAGATTTGTCTCACTTTGGACAGAATTAGATTGTTTTTTTCTCCTTTTGCAGTATTTATGCTAACCTGGCCTAACCGACTGCTTATATGATTTGCATTTATCGTACAAAGAGCAGCAGTGGTGTCAGTCCTTCCAGCAAGTAAGAGTAGAAAATATTTTCCCCAAGTGTTAAAACACTCCTTTAACGTTTTTTAACTTGTCTAACTTGTCTGAGTTAATATCGCAACTCAAGTGTGGAAGATCGTTCTTGACCTACCTAACAATAATCTCTGTAATCCCTTCATGGCAACAGTTTCTGTCTGATGACGGTGGTCTCTTTCAGCAGAGTAATGCACCCAGTATTTGAGGAATATGTAAAGGAGTTCAAGGTGCTGTGTAGCCTGTGTCAGTGTGACAGATTCACTTTCATCCTACAGAACTTCAAGGATCTGATGCTAACGTCTGGTGCCTGATACCACACGACACCTTCAGAAGTCTCGTGAAGCCCACGCCTCGATGGGTCAGAGCTATTTCAGCAGCACGAGGGAGGCCAACACAATATTAGGATTGTGATTCTAAAGCAGAACTGTGAAAAGATATTTATTAAGTACTAAACAATCCTTCTACAGTACTGTGCCTTATATAAGCCTTGAGCCACTCCTAATTTCTTTATATTTTCTTAAAAACAAGCCAGATTTTGCTGTAATTTCTGCAAAGTTATCTTGAGCATTAGTTCTCTTTCAAGGTTTTTCTTTGCATGCTGGTTGTTGTTTTTTTTTCACTCCAGTCCTTGTACATACCAAGCCATTTTTAGAGGATTTTTTTTTTTGCTTATTAAGCCACTTAACACCGACCTATGAATCAAGTACAAAAAGGCACCGAAGTCAAGGGAATGACCAGTGTTGTGTCTACACATAAGAGATAATTTCACAAAGAATCTATTTTAAATTGTATCTTTAGGCAATTTGCTAATCCTGGCCTGTCACAAAAGCATAATTCTTTTCCCGTTTCTTTAGACAAATCTTTAAAAATGGCAAAGAAAGCACAATTTGTTGGATTAAATAAAGTAGAGCTGCATGGTGTGCGATGTGTCCTCAAAACGTTTGAGTAAACTGGAAAAATAGATGACAAAGTAAGAAGTGAAAGGTCTAAAAAACTATCTACAGCAGATAAACAGTAGCTGAAAGTCCTCAAGAAATACATAATGAAGAACTGACACAGGATCTGAGAGATGAATCTGACCCCTGCGATAGAAACAAATTGAAGAATAGAACAAAAATGGTCTCAGTAAAGGGGTGGGTGTTAAGGCCTAATTGCACAAGAACTGAAATTAAGATCAGTGCTAACAGGTCTTATGGAGTGATGAATCAAAATTTGCGATTTTTGGTTCAAATTATCAACATGGATCAAGAGACAGGTACAACAATGAGTGTCTGCAGCCATCTTTAAAACGAGGTGGAGGCTCTGTCATGGTCAAAATTAATGGCATTATGAACACAGAAAAATATGATACACCATGCAAAATGACCTAGTAAGTGTTTCACTGGCAATGACAATGATCCCAAACAGACTAACACTGTGCAGTAAAAGCATACCTGCATAGAAAAATACACAATGTAATGCTATCAGTCGTGGATTGGCCTCTACATTGACCTTAACATTATTGAAGCACTGTGAGATCATCTTGACAGAGAACAGAACAAAAAGGCAGCCAACATCCAAAGAAGAGCTTTGAATGTCCTTCATGAAGCCCAGAGAACGATTCCTGAAGACTACTTAAAGAAATTACAAGAAAACTTTCCTAAGAGAGTTTAGGCTGTGTGGTCATACCAATTATTAACTTTCAATGCTTACTTGTTAGAATTGTACAAGCTCTCTTGTTCCCTTATATAACAAATTTCCGTGCATGTTTGGACACATTTCAATAAATCGCTGCACGCATTTCTCATTCTCCAAGCAAAATATAAAGAAACAAGGGTTTTCTCAAGACTTTAGCACATTACCGTAACAGGACCACTGCATTCCTAGGCAAATATTTCCCTATTAAAACATTTTATTGGCCTTTTTTTAATAAAAAGACCTACTGTCCTCATATGTATCCAGGAATCATGTGCAGGAATTCATAATCCATTGGAACTGTCAAATCAAGTCACATTCAAGCATAAATTGATTATTTACCTCGCTCTTTCTCTCTCATACGCACACTAACACACACACACAAACACACGCACGCACGCACGCAC